TCATCCCGTCAACATAATCTGGATACTCACTATACAGGCGGAAGACCAATCGGGTTGTGGACCACTCGTAGCCCTGCTGCGGCTGAAGCCCCTCACTCATCACGGCCCACCCCGAGTCCGTCGCAAGGGGATAGCATCTGTTCGACAGCTCTTCCATTTTGTCTTTTTTCAGTATTATCAAAAGTTAGAGGTGACATCAAAAGTTAGAAGTAACAAAGCCAATCATTCTGGAAGCCCCACAACTTCTTCCGTCTGATTCGCTGTCCACGACTTTGAGAACTAGACGAATAGGTTATCAATTTTCTCTTAATGCACTCCCCAGAAGACCATGCGACCCCACTGCTTTTCAACCGATTCATACTCCGGATTCTTTGGGTTTTGCCGCGACTCCGCGTAAGCAGAATCGTAATGAGAATGGCCGCCCTTTGTAGTCATCGTCGTCCTTAGATTTGATGTAAAGCTTGAGCGAGATTCAGGATGTTTTGGTGGATCTGTAGAAAAAAGGCGTCGCCTAAGAGAACAAAGGCGAAGCTGAGGTGGAAGAGGAACGAAGATGTAGCTGCATATGATCACCAAGAGAAGATGAAGTAGGTTGACAGTCACGAACCTACTACTTCATCGGAAGAACAAGTACAAGAAGAGCGTATTATAATCAAGAGGAACGATCTACCGAAGAACTTTTACATCAAGTCTTTTTTCTACCAGTACAAGAAGTACTTTTTTTTATCTACAACTTCTAGTACAAGAACAACAAGTAGTAGTACGTTTTCTACTAGTACAAGAAGTACTTTTTCTACAACGAACTAGCTGCCCCGGCCTTAAGCGATATTTGTAATTCAAGTGTTCTCCACAGCATCGCTCCACTTTATTCAGCAAAAGTTGCTCCACTTGCGCAGCCGCCATTCGCTCACCGTCAGTGCGTGGTTTCTTATCCTTCTTCGGAAGTACTACATTGTCGTAGACGCCCCGCATTTATGAAAAAATTAAGTGGATGAACACTAAATATCAGTTATATGATCATTAATTTATTATTCTCATCTTCTATACTTAAGAAATTATTGTTCTTCTTCTCCTATGAGAAGTATCTGCGTTCTAATTTCAATTTTCTTCCTTTCAACAACATAATGCGAGAACCAATTCCGTTGTCCAAGTCCAAGGACGCTTCGGCGTCGTAATACCGAAGGCTCCGCGTAGACACGAATGGTACTCGAGCGCCCCGTCGTCCGATCCGGCGTGCGCATCCGGAATTGTCACCGTTACCCCCAGTCTTTCTGGGCCTGCGACCTGCGACTCGGACTTATAGAACAGTTTGCCATCTCCCTGAGCAAAGTTCTTCATTAGAGATATTGATAAGCATCAGAACCGATGTTGAGTTACTGATCCTCTATGAAAGAGAGGAGGGAATCTGTAAATAATCATCTATGAAAGAGATGATTAATAGATAATTCCCTCGTCCATGATGTTGAGTTACAACAGTTACTGAAGATACCGATGCAGTTACAAAAAAAATTTTCGAGAACATCAAGATGTTGTTGAAGAGTATTTGTATGTTGTTCTTGATGATAACCGAGTTGCTGTAGCTACCAAAGAAAAAAATAGTGAACCTATCCTATGCATATCAACATATGTTCCAGGGCGCGGGGCGACGCCCCCCCCCCCTTAGCGGGAGGGGGCGCGGGCGCCCTGGAGCCCTTTTTGAGGCCTCTGCCGGGCCCCCCCACCCCCCCCCTGTTCCCTTCCAGGTGCTTGGGGTCCCCTAGAGGCCTCGGACGTAGGTGGAAGGCCTCAAGAGGGCCGCAAGGGGGGCCGCCTCCGCTCCGTCCCAGCTGCTTGGCTGTTCCCCTAGAGGCCTCCGACGTCGGCGGAAGTCCTCGAGGGGGGCCAAGGGGCTCGCTGCCTCCTTCTCGTTTGCATGTACCCTACAGACTTGAGGGGTTAGATGGCAGCAGTGCACCGGCAGCGGCTTGCTTGCGACC